AGGAGGAGGAGGAGGAGGAGGAGGAGGAGGAGGAGGAGGAGGACTGTGGGGTCCTTGGTGCTCTCTGAGCTGGGTGGTTTTCTTGCAGGCATCTCATGACCCAACTAATGCTAGAAAGGAATGGGGTTTGCAGAGATAAGAGAAAGGGAGGGAGACGGAGGAGAAGGAGGAGGGCGACGACTGTGGGGTCCTTGGCGTTCTCTAAGCTTCGTTGATTTCTTGCAGACATTTCATGACCCAACTAGGGAACGTCATCCGTGCTAGAAGGGAGTGGAGATTGCAGAGAAGAGGAGGAGGAGGAGAAAGAGGAGAAGAAGGGAGGAGGAGGAAAAAGGAGGAGGAGGACTGTGGGGTCCTTGGTGCTCTCGGGGCTTGGTGGTTTTCCTGCACACCTTTCATAAACCAACTAGGTAACACCATCAGTACTGGAAGGGGGTACAGTTTGTGGAGAGGAGGAGGAGGAAGAATGTGGAGTCCTAAGTGCTCTCTGAGCTTGGTTGTTTTAAGACATTTCATGACCCAACTAGGCAACATCATCAGTACCAGAAGGGAGTATGGTTTCTGGAGAGGAGGAGGAGGAGGAGGAGGAGGACGAGGACGAGGAGGGGAAGAAAGAAAGAAAGAGGGAGGGAGGGAGGGGAGGAGGAGGACGAGGAGGGGGAGGAAAAGAATATCTTCCTCTTTATCTGCGAATTCCCAGCAGCTCCCACAAGGACTCACCCAATTTGCTCAATCAGTTCCCTGGCCTGAGTGATGATATTGGCACCAGTGAAGCAGACGATGCCAGCCATTTCCATAGAATACCAGCGGGCCCTGCGTCAGGGAGAGAGAGAAAACGCGGGGTAGGAACGGGTTCCCAGGTTCTAAACCTGGCCTCGCCACACCCTGGGAAGGTTTCACTGCTCCGTGCCTCGAGTTGTCTTGGGGGAGTTGAGCAGCAGACATACGTAAGTTTAATCAAATAAATCCATTTGATCCGGAGATGCCTGGGAGCCTGAGGTGAGGTGGGCAGCTCAGATCACAACCTGGGAAGTTGGAAACTCAAAAAAGTGTTAAAAGGGCCTTTTCTGGGCTGGCATCATTGGTGGAGGGCTTCCTTGGGAAGTCTGTCCGATGATAACACCCGTGTCTTTCCGTTGAGAGATGAAAAAGATTCCAGTTTTGTACAAAATGATTTCAGAGTTAGCAAATGTTGCTGTGAAGATCCCAGAAGAAGCCCTAATTAATTTACGAGCCTCGAGACAAAGTTCAAAAGAAATCCAGCCAATTATTAGGAGCAACATTTTGCAATTTTCTTCTGCTGCGGAGCCAAATCTGATTTCCGGATAATGGCGTCTGAACTTTAGCCCTGTGTCTCCCCTCCCCTCACTCTGTGTCACAAATCACATCCACCAACGAGGTGCTGCAGCGGGCTGTGAACTTTCGAGCCTCACACGCCTGCTGTAGACATCTCAGATCCGACCCTGATCGAAGATATGTCTGAAGATATGTTCAAATGACCAGCTGCCTGCAAGGAGTAGAAATCCTCCAAGTGGCCTCAATGACTCTCTAAAAAGGATG